TTTAGGTAACATACCGAAGCGTTTTCAGTCGCGGTTAGTCACCCTTCGTCAGCTATCGTTTTGCACTGTGAAGTATATTCCATCAACTTTATATTACCTGTACATCTGGCCACCTGCGTAAGGCTGTGCATAAATGACCGAATTGAACTTCATGAGCTTTTTGAATTGAAGGCGTGCCGTAGAATAACGCGCATTTGCGTGTGACAACAGAGCACAGCTGAAGTTTATAGCGTGCATTCTTTGTCGAGAAAGCGATTAATAACGAGCGGGGCACTGTTACAGTGAATACGAAGTACGCTTTGCACTTTAAAGGCGTCTGGTTCAAATTCCTGGAACTAGGAGTTCACCCCTTTCTCCTCCGGTGCTACTGGCGTAGAAGCGGTTAGCAAATCGTTGACCAACGAATAATGATGAACGGGAACAGCATGGTGTTCTATTATAGTAATACCATATTTTATGAAATATAGCTACGCTACGCTTTCTGATGCTTGCGCTTTACGGCTGCAATTCGCTTGACTCCCTGATAGGTGACTAAAAGTCGGTACAAAGTGTATATTGTTAAAAAAGGTTTTTGAATTGAGTAATCTGTCATCGTACTAGTTTCGAACGGAGGTGAATAAATGATGAATACTGCTTAGCCCTTAACAGACTTGAAACGACCAAACTGGCCAATGACTTGAATTAAAAGATTGATCCAGAAGTGTTATTTAAATGATTTATAACCGTGATTAGGAATAAAAAATTTATGGTAATAGCACAAATAAAGTTTCGAAAGCTTTATTTAAGGAAGTAATCCAGTAAGTACGAACGAATCGTCCATAGAATAAGTCACTTCTGAAATGAATCCGTCAACATTTCCTAACTGATGTTCGAATTATTTTAACATTTTTACCATTTCATCAAAACTAAGTCTACTTTGATTCCGTACTTTCAGACTTTATTTGTCCATCGATGTTGATGCTAATGGCTTAAACCGCCATTCGTATTTAAGAGCTATGGTCGGCTGTAGAACTTATCACGCACCATTTCATACTTTCATTTTTGAGCCACCCAGAAAGTGAGACTGCGCAACAGTTTCTGGAAGAAATGATGCAGCCAAAATTTATTCCGGGTATTAACTGATCTTACAATCCAAAATGAGAGGTTGTGCAAATGTTATTTTGCTACCTGAGCACAATCGTTATCCACAGCATGTATTTTGCAAGCATTTATCAAGTAAACCATGTTTTTAATGTCTTGAAGAAAATTTCAAGTAGAGCCCCTGAATCAGTTGCTGTCCTTACGCGTTACACATTTCCTTGATTTTCGGTTAGCTGTCAGGTCGGTCAAAATAAATTGCAGCCGTAAGGCGCAAGTGTTGGACTGAGTTGTCGTATGTGCCGCACGGAATAGCTCAATCACGCCATGATGCCGTGTTGTTCTTATGTTCACAGGTCATCGATTTGCTACCCGTTTCTCGGCTGGTTGCACCGAAGCATATTAGGGTGAACTTTTTGCTTGAGTGAATTAGTAGTTAATAATAGATATTTTAAACAGCGTCAGCACTCGAACTCCACATCCCTAGCGTGCAGAGCCAGACATTGTTCCTTCTGCACAAGAAGATAAACGTATTTCAAAATTAAAAATCAAAATCATACACGATATGCTTAATGGACGTACTTTGCATCATGGGATTTGTTTTTCATCATATAAAGGATTAACCCCGGTTTTATGGATGTGATGGCTTTCAATACTGCTGGCAAGGATAACAGTCTCCTATCGCATTCTCCGTGGAATTCGCTCGGAGACTCATTCTTGCCGCCGGTATCGACAACTGCCAGTTTGCGAGCAAACCCATAGCACCAGAACTAAATTTTTGTTACGTATAAGATTTTGGAATATTATTTTTGTTATACATTAGCGTATCTGCTGTTGTTCGAACATGCTTTTGCTCGGCTCAACGCAGTGATTCTGTTTTGCTTGCATCCACTACAGGTGCTCAAATTCCGCAGCCTACTGAAACGATCCCCTAGACTACTAGAAGCAAAGAGACGGGGTGACTATGTCATGCGAATCTAGAAAAACGACAGAAGATTGTTTGCTATTAATTTTACCTGCTAACTAATTAAATCAGTTGCTCTTTAAAGCGGTTGTGAAATAGATATCCTGAAATTGAAGAGCTTTTGCAATATTTGTACGCTGCGCAAAGCATAACGACGAGGATTAGCTTACCCCTTTTAGAAAAGGAGTAAGCAAATCTCTGCCTTTTGTTTTCTCGTAACCTTAGTAAGCCGGCCTTCACGCTTCAGGGAAGACGACGCAGTGATGCTAGTGATGCTCATACAAGAATGTTCGCTTTATTTCCAATAACCGTTAAAGAGTTGCAAGTCACTTAGCCGTCGTCTATTGTATGACCTGTGGGGGCGTTAGCGTCGTTTTGCCTGCCGGCTGAATCTTTCGTTCAGAATGCGGACTTAATTAGGGTATTACCAGATGATGATAAATGCGCAAGTGATGAAATTTATGCTTTACGTTCGCACACAGAAAGCCACAGATTTAAAACGAGTTTACAGCTAACTTAGCTCTTTTGTATTTAAATTTTTTGCGTTTATAGTTTTGAGAATCGTAACCCGTTCGCTGCCTCGTCGTGGACGCGACACTGGCTGCGCTTCCCGCGGTACGAAACACAGCGTTTCATATTGCGGACACATCGCATACCATTTAAGTCACTGATCATTCGACCAGTGGATCTGATGTAACATTTCAAACAGATGCATTCTCTAAGATCTAACTAACAAGTGCCCAAAATCTCTTCTCATCCGGGCATGAAACGAGTTGTCACCACAGGCAAGATACTTGCTGGCGCTTCCATCAACATGTAAGTGAACGACAAGGAAATCGCTGGACTGCAGGTTACAAACCATAAATCAAGAGATAACTACTCACTTTGAGCAGAAGAGACCCGTGTGACCAGATGCAATGGAATGACTCAGTTGTGTAGATCAACTCTGTTGACCATTACCATACCATATATGAAAATTTGTGTTCTCGCAGAATCGCCTGACAGTCTTCAAATTCATTTGCTTAAGTATGTCACAGGCATCCAGCTCTGTCAGTGAAGGAAAATTAAGTAAATGAGTTTTGTGTGCGACAAAAGTGGACAAAATCAGATTTTATGTTTGCCACTTCGAAGATGTCTTTACTGCAAATTCCCTTGTTCAAGGAATTTACCACACGTTGCTTCGTATCTGGGTTGCTCGGTCGATAGAGCATCTGATTCAGAACCGAGAGATCCCGGGTTCGAACCGAGAGATCCCCGATTCGAGGTCATTAGCGTTTTGTCCTTCCGAGCTTGTGAGTACTATTCTGTGAGAAGGAAACACGAGACTGTACGCTACGCTTGCTGTATGGCCGTAAGTTCTGCCTTTAAAAAGAATAAGGCACTCCTGGCTGATGGCATCGAAACGGAGATTCTACACCTCCACCTCTGG